CTCAGCACCAACCTGCATGGCTCCTCCAGGGCTGGGGCCACTGCTGGGGCTCCCTCCCAGCCCAGCTGCCTCTCTCCGGCCTGCTCCCCACATCCCACGGGCAGCTCCTTGTCCTCGTCGGGCTGGGGGCAGGTGGAGGTGAGCATCCCCGTGGGCCCCAAGGGGTCAGCATCCCCAAACCTGCCCTGCATGGAGGTATCTCCCATCCTGTGTCCAGGGGCTGGGCAAAGGGGCCCAAAGGCTGCAGGGCTGGGTGCTTGGCTGAGCCTCCAGCCCAGCTCCTGGCCGCCTGCTGCTCCCAACAGCCCTGCTGTGCTATGCCAGGCTGTGCTGTGTCATGTCATGCCCTGGCACCCTGCCAGGCCACGCCATCACTGCACACAGAAGTTCAAGGGTGTAGGGCCACCCGAGGAGGAGGAAGACGAGGAGGCTTCCACAACTTCAGCCCAACCTCAGTCCCAGTAGAAGGTGTGAAACCTGGCTGCCCCCTCTCCTTGCCCATATCTGGGCTGACTCCTCATGGGGGGGTCAAGGCTGTGCCTTCATCCCAGTGGCAACTGGTGACAAGTGTCTCAGCGGGCCAGGCGCTCAGGACAGCTGTGGATGCAACCCCTGACCAAGGGTGGATGGGCAGCAGGTCCCTGGGGGACGGGCAGAAAACACCCGGAGGGGACAAGAGGGTCGAGCAAGGGCAGCCCCAGGCAGCAGATCTCCTGCCCCCAGGTGCTTGGATCCTCGGAGCGCAGCGGGGCTAAGGGGACAAGTCCTGAGCATGCCCATCACCCTCCTCACCTCCCCAGCCCCTCGCTCTCCCCAGAGCAACCCCCCCATCTGTCCGGCCACCCATGTGTCCAGCCCAGCTGGTGCCTCCCAGCACTGCCCCAGACCTCATTCCCAGTGCCCATGCTGCCACCCAGGACCCCACCACACTGGACCTACCAGGAGGTGATAGCGGGCACGGAGTCCCCTCATCGCAGATGTGTGGATGCTGCTGGTGTGCTGGACACCGCGCTGCCAGGGAGCCCTTGACACTGCTCCAGGTTAATGTTCAACAACTCTGACCCCTCCCTGGCCACCCAGTGCGTGATACAGGTGGGTGGGGATGCCGTCAGCCTGCCTTGGTCCATGGGGTTCCAGGATGCATCCCCCCCCGCCCCTGCCTCACAAAGCCAGGTCCTGCATGGTGCTAGGATGGATGGGCAGAGGTCCCCATCCAGCCAGGTGCTGGGTGTCCATCACCTCCTTTGCACCCTGGGCGCTGGATCACCAAGCTGGGAGCCCTGAGGCTGCAGAGGAGCCCTTGTTTTGGGATCAATGAGCAGGTTTTGCCTGTGTTGCTCTTTGCAACACAACTGTTGCAATGGTTGTAGCAACTGACAACACCCGCCTGGCGGACGTGGTGGCACGTGCCCCCCTGGGAGAGACAGCCTGGACTGATGCCCTGCGGGTGGGTGAGCCAGGGCCCCTGGCAGAGTTGGGGCTTGGTGGCTGCAGGAGGAGTGAACCCCTGGCCAAGGTGTCCCGCTGCTGGAGAAGCTCCTGCAAACCAGCAAGGGGGCTGCAGTGTCCCCTTCCCACTGATGCTACACCCCACACGCCCCCCCCAAACCAGCCAGCATGGCAATGAGCCTGTAGGCCCAACTGTAACAGTGCTCTATGCATGCCAATGCAGGAGTTTCTGAATGTCCTGCATGGTGGCACGATGGCCACAATGGCCTGCCCCAGGCCCTGGCCCTGCTGCAGGGCATTTTTGAGGTTGCTCCTTGCCTCCATGGCAGGGCCCATTGCAGCCTCGTCGGTCCTGCCTGCCCCAGGGAGTTGGTCCCAGCTCCCCTGTCCCCACCAGGCTTTGATGGCAGCAGTGGTCCCAGGATGGCAGCGGGAGGTTAGGGGCTCCTGGTGCCCGACACGACTAGCACTTGGCCACTGGTAGGGCCCTGGGTGGGTCAGGAAGTCCCGGTGGCTCTGAAAGCCTCCCCTAGGACCACCCTCGGCTCAGGACCCACCTAACCAGTCCCGCATTCGCACTCATTCATGTCAGCGCTGCTGTAGGGCTGCCATCCCTGCCCTCACACCCCCCATCCTTCTTCCTATCCCTGCCCAGGTCCTGTCCCTGCCCTTGTCCTTGATCCTGCCCCTGCCCCTCCACTTGCTTCTGCCCCAGTCTCAACATCTGTCCCTGCCCCGGCCCTTTCCATACCCCTGCCCATGCCAGTGCTTCTGTCCCTGTCCTTTACCCTGTCCCTGTCCTTGCCCAGTGCCCTGTCCGGGCCCTTCCCCTCTCCCCTGCCCTATCCCTGTCCATGCCAGTGCCCCTTGCTCTTCCTCTGCCCACGGTGCTCACACCGTTACCTCTTCTCAGAACCACTTTTGGGTCCAATTTGGGGACCTGCTCCCGGGGGGATCCCGATCGAGCCAGCCTGGAGGGGTGGGGGGTGGCCAGGAGTGGGGCCCTGGGCACAGTCACAGAAACAAAAAGTCAGCCGCTGGAGACAGAGGACTGAGCTGCTGCCCACAGCCCCTCGGCTCAGTCCCACCGCCTCCCATCAGCATCGTCTCCCTCCTGATGGGTGAATTATTTCTGACTTCGTGGGAAGCGGGGGGCTGTAAAATGGATAGGGCCCAGATAGCCCCAGCTATTCACCCTCTTGCTTTCTTTTACACTGCTGTTGGGTTAACTGTGCATAGCTGGCATCTCCTAAAATCAGAGCGGGTTTCAGTCCACCCGAGATGTCTGTTTGCTTTTTGGTGTGTCCCAGGGCCACTTGTCTTCCCTCCTGACCCCTGCGTTTGTTTTCAAGTCCCCTCACAGGCTCTCCATGTGACTCTTGCTGCCTCCCACAGCCCCATCCTCACCCCCCTCCCAAACACAGAGCACACAAGAGGCGTTTAAAACTTGCGCAGTTTATTACGCTCCTTGACACGCCACACAGCCGACAGCCCAGGGCAGCCCTGCCTGCCTCTGCCCCCCACCATGGCGGGGGCCACCGGGCGG